ACTCTGGCTTTTTTTGTTGACCATTAGCATGATAGATGGTTCTCCATCCCCTTACTTTCAAGCTGAAGGTGTCTTTAGGTCTAAAGTGAGTCTCTTGTAAACAGCATATAGATGATCTTGTTTTCTTATCCATTCTGTTACCCTGTGTCTTTTGATTGGAGCATTTAGTCCATTGATGTTTAGAGTGAGTACTGAAAGATAGGAACTTATTGCCATTATGGTGCCTGTAGAGTTGAGGTTTCTGGTGGTGTGGTGGTGTTCTCTGGTCCTTTCTAGTCTTTGTTGCTTTTGGTCTTTTTTTTTTTTTTCCATCTTTTCTCCCCACAGAGAGTCCCCCTTAAAATTCCTTGCAGGGCTGGTTTAGTGGTCATGAACTCCTTTAATTTTTGTTTGTCTGGGAAACTTTTTATCTCTTCTTCTATTTTGAATTACAGCCTTGCTGGATAAAGAATTCTTGGCTGCATATTTTTCCGATTCAGCACATTGACTATATCCTGCCACTCCTTTCCGGCCTGCCAAGTTTTTGTGGATAGGTCTGCTGCAAACCTAATCTGTCTTCCCTTGTAGATTAAGGACTTATTTTCCCTTGCTGCTTTCATGATTCTTTCCATGCCTGCTTATTTTGTGAATTTGACTATGATATGCCTTGTTGGTCAGTTTTTGTGGAATCTAATGGGAGTCCTCTGTGCTTCCTGGATTTTGATGTCTGTGTCTTTCCCCAGGTTAGGAAAGTTTTCTGCCATGATTTGCTCACACGAATCTACCGCTTTTTCTCTCTTCATCTTCTGGGACCCCTATGATTCTGATGTTGTTCCTTTATAATGAGTCACTGAGTTCTCTAATTCTTAAATCATGCTCTTTGCCTTAGTTTCTTTGTCTTCTGCTTCATTGTTCTCCATAAGTTTGTCCTCTATATCGCTGATTCGCTGCTCTGCTTCATCCATCCTTGCTGCCATGGCATGTATTCAAGTTTGCAGTTCAGTTACAGCATTTTTATTTCATCCTGACTAGCTTTTACTTCATCTCTGCAGAAAGGGATTCTAATCTATTTTCAACCTCAGCTAGTATTCATATTATGATTCTAAATTCTGGTTCAGACATCTTGTATCTGTGTTGATTAAGTCCCTGGCTGTCCTTTCTTCCTGTTCTTTCTTTTGTGGTGAATTCCTTCATTTCATCGTTTTGAAAGAAGAAAAGGAATTAATAAGGTACAAAAATTACAATTAAAGAATTAAAAACAACACCAAAAAAAAAAAAAATCAAATAATGGAAGTTAGAT